TTTTACATCATACTGGATATTTTTCCACTGAAGTCCAGGACAAAAATTATTTTGGTCTCAGTGGGAGTCAGGCAAATTGTTTTTGTAGGGTCTGGGCCAAAATGTAATTATTTTATGCTTACAGTAAATGTGATTAAGATCTTTTAATGATGCAGATATTGTTACATTCTCTAACTAGATTTGTATGTAATAGCAGTTGTGCTCTGCAAGGGTAGTGGTCATTGCAACTTGGAATCTCCAACTCCTGGAAACCAGGAGGCAAGTTTAGGGAAGATTTTATTGTGTAGATAAGAGTAACCTGAACTGATAGCTCCTGCAGCTCTTTGCAAGACTGGAAAATGATAACTTGCAGTGGTTTGAGTCAAATCTGCCCTATTCAAGAAAAGGAATACAGGAAGGGTTTCTTACTGCAGGCATTCAGCACAACTGTAATTCTGAAGAGAATCACTCTCTAGGACAGTGTGCCACTGATGATTCTGCTCCTGGCACTCAGTCTGCACTTAAAATTTTTCTGGCATAGTAACAGGACTGTGAAAATATGGCATAAACTTGACATAAAAGCCACCTTTAGTTAGGTAATGCCAGGTTTTCCTGTAGGAGAGTCATGTTACAGCTCAAGCTCATTTGTGAATGGAAACAATTTGGAATGCTAATGATAGAGAAATCTGTTGGATTTGTAGAAAGTACTTTTCTGCTTTGGATGTAGTCAAGCCAGTTTAGTTATCCACTCATTTTTAGTGCAAAATTCCCTTTGCATTTGCTGTAGAAGGAACAGGGGTAAAAGGAATTTAAGATCATGATTTAAGATCATTTGCTGGGAATTACCAGATTTGCTCTTGGAATCTTCATGTCATTCAGCTCTACCAGGCTGAGGGGGTTTAGAACAGCCCTAGGAACTTTGTAGCTTCTGCCTTGGAGCTGTGATGGAACTAAGGATTTGTGGTCAGAGCACAAATGATGCACTCCAGGTGCCAAAATACTCACTGGGATTTTAATAGCTGCCACAATTTGAAGGAACTGTGATGCAGCTCAGAAGAAAGCTGGCAAATCTGCCTGCAAGGACGAGATATCTGCAGACCACCCTCTGCTTTTTCCAGTGTTACACCACAAGATTAGCTGCATTTGGTCAAACCAAAAGATTTGTCCACTTCATAAAAACCTGATCTTTGTGTGTCTCTTTTACAACCAGTAGGAGATGTTGATGGAAGAAGAAGCTTATTTTTGCTACTGAATTGGTTTCTTTTTTACTTGCAGGTGTCCAAGCTAGAAGAAAAGGAAGGAATTTCTGTAGTTGAAGATGTGGACTGACTTCCTGTCTTGTTTAACTGTGGTAATTAATTTGCCAAACAGAATGTTCAAAACTGGATTATATTGTGATAATGAGCAGGGATAACCTGCTTAACAGTTCTTGAGCTGACTGTTGTAATCAATTTTTTTAATTGACTCCCTGTTTTCTCCCAATATACTTAAACTGTAGGTTGGCTAAGGGATCATTTATTAAGGATCTCCTTCAACTTCTTGAGTTAATTGCCTTTAATTTAAAAACTCACCTTACTTTGCAATAAACTTGTAATTTTGTCATGCTAATTGACTCAGTTCTTATTCTACATGTTTTTTTATTTACCTGGCACTGACTTTGTAGACTGGCCCAGTATTTTGAGTGGCCACAAAGTCAAACTCAGCGAGGTGTTGGAGGCATGTCTGTCTTGAAGCAGATGGATGATCTTCATGTTACTGGGGTCGAATTTAGAGTTTAACTTCTTGCTTCCTTTGAATATTGCAGAATGAAGTAAAAAACCAGTGTCCTCTGAGCTCAATTAGAGTGTTACCCACATCCCACCTACAGTTTGCAAAAACTTAATTTTTAACTTCATATCTTCAAACTGATCTTTTAAATTTGTTCAGTGCCGTGGAGCAATAAAAAAGGATGGGTTTGTTCCTTTGTCTGAGGCCCATTTCTGCCTTTTAATGTTTAGCTGTTCCCATTTCTTTTTTAAACTTTGATTATAAATGTGTACTTCTAATAGGGAAAACAAGAAATGCATTTCTGCAGTTCTGGGCAAACAGTATCCTTAACTGTAGCAACAGAGAGCTCAGGCCCAGTGAGACTTCTGTTAAAATAGTCTTACATTGTGCTAGTAGAAAATGTCTGCTACAAAGGGCACATTCTCCACATTTGTTTTCCACAACTCAGGAGTTGATTCACTTGGAGTTAAAGATGCTTCAGGAAGAATGGAAAATCCCAGCTGTGATTTGCCTTCCTTCATAGTTAGTTGGGCACTTCCAATTCCAGCTAGAGGGAGTGGATAAATTCTGAAGAGAAGTTAAAAAAATTGTTGTGTATTTGAAGACTTTTTATTTCTTCGTTTCCTCCGGAAGTTACTGGTTTCTCTTTCTGGACAATCACAGAAGAGGAAAGAGGAGACATTTGCTTTCATTCAAATAAAAAATAATAGCACAAAACCACAATATTTACATATGTCTCCTGTGTTGTTGCAGTTAGTGTTAGTGTTGTTACCCAATCTATTTCAGACACTTTTCTTTTTTAGCAATTGCATTTACAGCATCTGTACAAGTTGCATTTTATTTCTTGCCTGCTAATGCTGACTACAGACTGTACCAGGTCACTCCTATTTGCCTTTTACTATCCAGAAATTTTCACTGATGCCCCTAGTTTGACTGTTATCAACTAATTACCTCCAATGTTATCAGTGCACTGTTGCCCACTCAGAATGGGAAATAATTCTAACATCTAGCTGATGATGTTCACTTTTTACTGGAGACAGCTTGTATTGGGTTTGTGTGGCCAGGTTTTAGTGGCAGGGAGGGCTACAGAAGTGGCTTCTTTGAGAAGCTTCTGGAAGCTTCCTGCAGCAGAGGTAGAGCCAATCCCAGCTGGCTCCAGGATGGACCAAGGCCAAGCCAACCAGTGATAGGGGTAATGCCTCTAATAACAGATTTAAGAAGGATGAAAAGGTATTGTGCAGAAGTAATTGCAGCCAGAGAAGAGCAGGGTGAGAACATGTGGGGGGAACAGCCCTGCAGACACCCAGGGCAGGGAGAAGGAGGGGCAGGAGCTGCTCCAGGTGCTGGAGCTGAGATTCCCCTGCAGCCCCTGGTGAGGCAGCTCTGACCCTGCAGCCCCTGGAGGGCACAGGGATGCACAGACCCACCTGCAGCCCATGGAGGGTGGGCACAGGGATGCACAGACCCACCTGCAGCCCATGGAGGAGCCCACACCAGAGCAGGGGGATGCCCAAAGGAGGCTGTGAACCTGTGGGAAGCCCATGCTGGAGCAGGATCCTGGCAGGACTTGTGGCACTGCAGGAAACCCACAGCAGGCTGTTCCTGAAGAACTGCAACCCGTGGGAAGGACTCGTGTTGGAAAAGTTTGTGGAGGACTGTTCTCTGTGGGAGGGAAACCCCCAGGCTGAAGGAAGGGAAGGACTCTGCCCTGAGGAGGAAGAAGTGGCAGAAGCAATGAGAATTGACCATAACCCCATACCCTGCCTCACTACTCCAGGGAGGGAGAGGAGTAGAAAATCAGGAATAAGTTTAAGCCCAGGAAGGAGGGAGGGCTGGGTTGTCCTTAGGATTAGCTTTATTTCTCATTATCCTGTTTCGTTATGATTGGTAATAAATTCAAATAATTTTGCTATGTAGATTCTGTTTTGCCTATGATGGTATCCAGTGAGTGACCTCTCCCTGTCCTTAATTCATATTTTCTCTCTATGTCCAGCTGAGGAGGGGAATGATGGAGCAGCCCAGGTCAATCCATTGCATAATCATTATGGTAAAGATAACATTATAGAGTTCTCGTTTTTATCTTCAGCTAGATCTTACTGTTATTTGGAAGTCAGTGTTAAACTTATTTTTTGACTAAACAGTGGTGCAGATGAAAGCAAAAGCTACCCCATTGCTCTTTATCAAACATATATAAAATTATACATGTTCCTCTCAGAGTTAAATAAAGGTGGCCCTTAGAGACCAATCAATTTTTTGTCATTTGGCTGGATTTGACACATCGTGACTATGAGCTTGTTCTTAACCCTAGATACCACTAGGTCCCAGAAGGAGAGCTGGCCTATCACAACACCATTGTCCACAGTGAACATTGCTCCCTGGTCCATGATTTTATTTGCAATTCAACTAGTTCTTAAAACTAAGAGTCACCTTATAACAGTCTTGACTAATAAATGTGTAAAATATTCACTGAAGTAAAGAGAACCCCGTTTGATAAACACCATGTAGCTTTCAATTAAAGAGCAAAGGATGGGTCTACTTTTACTTGCCAGGCTGGAATGCTAAAATGAGGGATTGATACACTCTCATGTTCATCATTATGCTGCCACAGATCCCAGTATGCGGCAGAAAAGCGCTGGCAAATTGTCCCGACGCTTCTTTTGAAATCGCAGCTTTATGCAAGTGACCAGGGGAAGGGCGTGTGAAGGGGAGAGTGAGAAAAGCGGGCGAGTAGCGCGAGTGAAGCATCTTTAACAGTGAAAGCAACGTGAGTGGAGTTCACGGCTGCTCATGGAATGCCTAGGTGATTAAATACAAATTAAGTACTTTCTGCAACCAGGGATGTGGATGGTTAATCAGGACTGTGATATATGCGGGAAGCGGCCCCGCAGCTGCCCTGAGGCACCCAGCCAGGAGCCTGCAACCAGCCTGAGGCAAAAAAGGTGCAACTCCTTATCGGGGATGTGTTTTTTAAAGTCCATAATTGACGTGTGGGATGTGAAAACCGGACACTTCTCTCCCCCACAGCCCGCCTGCTCCATGGCGCCCAGGGGCCGATAGCCGGGGCAGCGCCGGGCCCGGCGGGAGGAGCCCTGAGGGCCGCGGCTCCCGCTCTCGCTCGCAGCCCGTCACATGCGGCGGGCGGAGCCGCCCGGGGCGGGCCGAGCCCCGCTCCCCTCCCCTTCCCTCCCCTCCCGCCCCGTCCTGCCCCATCGCAAGCCGGCGGTGCGGTGGCGGCAGCGCGGGCGGTGGTGCTGATGGAGGCCGGTGCTGAGGCGGAGCCGCTGCTGCCCCCGCGGCGCTGGCGGGCGGGCCGCGGGCTGTGGCGGGAGCGCGGCGGTGCCCGCTCGGCCGCTGAGGACGGTGAGTGCCCGGGGCGCTGGAGCGGGCGGAGCTCTTGCCTTTCCCGCAGAGCTGGGGCGCTCCTGGGAGCGGCAGGAAGCCCTGGAAGCCTCCTCGGGTGCTGCGGGGCTCGGCCGCCCTGCCCGGGCTGCTCCCGGCAGCTGTGGCGGGGACGGCTCTGAGGGAGCCGCCAGCGCTGGGTTCAGGTGCCTGCAGCCCCAGGCTTCTGTAGTTCCTTATGTAATTTTAGGGTTTTCCTCTAAGGTGCTGACAAGGTTTTCTCGAACCCGGTGACTGTTGTAGGTGTGACATCTCAATTCTCTCAGATGGAATCCTTTGGAGACCTCAGGTTCTCTCTTTTCAGGATGTTGCATCACCTAAGGGAGCCTTCACACTTGGTTGCTCTTTTGTGCAGTTCAGAAGTGCAGCGTGGTCTGGGATGGATTCTGTGTGCCCAAAGCGAGCCACTAGTGCTTTAATCATAACTTGTGACTAAGTGTCACTTGCTGTGACTAAGAGTTGCAGAATAAGTTGGATATCCATGGGAGAATGCATGGAGAAATTGCTATAGTAAACATTTTTGGCCAATTTCCCTGTTTTATTTTTATACTGTGAGTAGCCACTTAGATTCTGCCCTTCCAAAATCCTTGGCATCAATACTGGTGGGTTGCTGTGTGCTTCAAGTACCTAAAGCTTTTTCTGTCCTTGCATTCCTCTTACCTCATGGTTCCTTTAAGCAACTTTTGTTTTTATCTCACTAGTGTGAGATGTCATAAAAAAATAATGTCTTTACTGCCTGAGCCTGGCTTGTCTCCTGTTTATGCTCAGATCTTTCTTGTGCCGTGGTTCGTATCAGGATCAGTACAAAGCTGTTGCTGATGCTCAGATAAAGGGTGACATTTAAAAACCGTTTGCAGTCTTTGTAGGAAATTGATGCTGCCGAATCATGTGGAACATGAAATTGTCTGTGGCTCTCATCAGTGGTGTTTCTGGCATTGCTTGGTGTGTGTGGGAGGGCATTGTGTTACTGCTGGGATCGACTCCTTCGTGTTGTATCCCGGGTTGTGATTGCTGTCTCCTGGGTGGAGATGGTGTGAAGGTTACACTGGCATATGTTTTTCATATCTGGAGTCCCCCTCAGTTTTTTATCTCTTTTTATCTCTCTCTCTCTCTTTTTTTTTCTCCCCCCCCCTTCCTTATTTTGACCCTAACAACATTTATTTTTCTTTTTGGCTTAATTGCCAGGTAAGTTCCCAAAAGGTCTTACTCCAAGTAAACACAAGTGGCTGCCCTTTTGTTTTTTATGTGTCTATTTTCACATAGACTTCTTAATTATGGGTTTTAAAAAGTGTCATAGTAACTAATTTAGTGGTATTTTATTTCAAACTGTATTCTTTCACCCCTTGCTGTGTCTTGAGCTCTGATCTGTTTGGTATGGTAATAGTAACTCTCAGAACAAATTTAAAAAGCACTTAATTTAGTTCTCATGTGACTGGAGATTCCTGCTGGTTTTGGAAGAACAAAAACCACAGTATCTTTATTAAACAAAAATAAAAATTGCTATAATAGTAGTGCCTGATTTTCCTGGCTTTGCTTGACTCTATAGTCTGTCAAAGAACAATTTGAATCTCCATTATTTTGTCTGTTAGGACTTGTCTCTGTGTAGTTTTGTGGTACTTAACTACCAGTGTAATCTGGCTACTTAAACCTAAAAGAGAACCTTTTAACAAAACACAGAAAGGTGCCTGATGTGTTTGATACTATTATTACTTCCTTAAGGTAATGCACAGTGCTGCTGACAGAGCAGATGTGGCAGGAACTCTCTTTTTTTTTTTTGTGTGTGTATAGTGCCCTTGGTCATGAGAACTGTGATTGTGCACCTTCTCTTAACTGATAAGCAGTTTTATCCAAAGTTTGTTTATCCAAAATACAGCAAGTGATTCTTATTTCTTTTTTACTTCATAGGTGCTGGAGCTGATAATGACCTTTATATAAACCAAGCCATAGTATTTATTGAAGATGCTATACAAGTAAGTAACAATTTTTTTGTTAGCTTTTATGCTTCCTATGCTGGATGTTTGTCACACACTCCAGTTTTTAAGTTCTTTTGTGTTCAGGCAATGTTTTTAAACCACTATCTCGATTCACAAAGCAAAATCAGAATTCCAAATTCCTGTGGTATGCAAGTCTCAGTGAACATCTGCCTAGGAGAAACATATTTTTCCCCACAATGAAGTAATCTCTTTCAGGGTTTCAGAAGGCATGCTGGTTTGTGGAGTGATTTTCATGGTGTTTTTTGTTTGTTTATTTGTTTGGGTTGGTTTGATTGTGGATGTTTTGCTGGTGACTAACTAAGAGAAATGATTTGAGCAAACTCTGTAATTTGCCTCTCCATGTGACTACTTGCCCATCTTAAGAGCTGGTAAAAGCTCAAGAGTTTAAGACTGGCTTCAAGTGTGAAACTGGAACTCTTAAGCTGAACTTTATGCCTTTTGAAGTCTTGATTCCCTCTTTGTTGGTCCTTTACTGGCCAACACTGCAGGTTCCTAGATCCTGTTTTCTCCCAGGCTGTGGGAATGCTGAAGGGCAGTTCTTGAGCTCTCTTGCTGCTTGGTTGGGAGATTTCTGGGGGTCAGATGTATTTAAGGTGTGGCCACTTTTCTGGAAGCATCTACTCAGCAGGGACAGAGTAAGAACAGCCCAGGAGGAGTACAGAGGAAGGACATATTTTGTGGATTCCTTAAGAATCACAGGCACTTCCTGATCTGGAAACATATTTTATTCAAAGACATTGCTTGAGGTTTCTTCTATACAGAATTAGTTTGTATGCATTTTATGGCCTGTTGGAGGAGAAAGACAAAAGAAGAGCCATGAGTGGAATGAATGTTAGAGAGGGGAATTAAGTGGGTGGACCATTTTCGCAAGTATATAGAATAGTCACTGAATTATTACAAATGCTGTTATTTGAAATGATGACAGTGCTTGCTTGGGATGAGTGGCACACAGTTTGATCATCTGAGCAGCTCTGTGCTCTTTAGATAGCAGAACTTCTTTACAATCTTCCCCTTTTCACACATGTAGAGTACCTCTGTGATCATGAGGTACTTTAGTAATTAATAACATGTACTAATTTGGTCTGCTTTGGTCACTTGATGTTTGTTTTTGAGCTGGACTGGATGTAATGATCTTTTGAATGATCCTTTTTGCTTCCTGCCTTCAGTACCGATCTATAAATCACCGTGTGGACTCCAAATCCCTGTGGCTTTATCGGTGGTACTATTCCAAGACTTGCCAGTGGTAAGAGCTTGGTTATTCTCTTTGCTTTTTTGTTTAGGAGTTAGTCTTCCTGAAAAACTACTCTTCCTCTTTCTTACTTGTTAGATAATTAGGTAATTGTGTTTTTATCTTTAGAAGAACTTACTCTGGGAAGCAAGGAAGTTCTTATGACCACATGTGAGCATGATAGAAGTGGAAAAGAGAAAATTTTATGGAAGTTTGATGACAGAGATAGCTCTTTGGAAACAGCCACAGGATTGTTGCATGAATGGACTAATTAGCATGATTTAAAGCACTGTGCCTTAAGAGTTTTCAAAGTGTATGTTTCTAAACATGTTGGATACCAGCAAGATTGTTTGCTGCTGTCAGTTTCAAAAGGACACCACCTCAGGTTATTTGGTGGTCAGCAGTTACATCTCCAGTGCAGGCAACAGCATGCTAGTCAAGTGCTGCCTTGTGGTCTAACCCATTTGAGTGAAATATGGTATCATAAAGCTTGGTTTTCTTCAAAGAAAATTGCTTTTCTCTTAAGTATTTTGTTATTATTTTGACTCATTTTGTGGCTGGATTATGGGGTTTGTTTTGGGGTGGTGTTTTTTTCATACTTTTTTATGGTTTTGTTGGTTTTATTTTTGATTTAATCTCTGTCCAAACAGGATTTTGAGCTTAACCATTACTGTAATCTTGGCTTTGGCTTTCATTGAAGAGCCTTCCTCACTCACCATCACATCTGATGTGCGCTACCGCCTTCCCGCCTGGAATCCTCCCTGCGGCCTCACGGAGAGCGTGGAGCTGCTCTGCTTCCTGGTGTTCGTGGTTGATGTGTCTGTCAAGGTGAGCATCTCCTTCATCTGCTACTGAATGAAGCAGTAGGTGTGTGGTAGAATTGTTCTCCAAATCTTGAGTTTGCAAGATGAAATTGCCTTGCTTTATTAGAGCCTCGTTTCAGGAGAAATTAGCAAGTGTATATTTACTTAATTAAGACATTTATTCCCTTTTTTTAAACCAAATTTTCTTAATTGAGTGAAATAAAATGAAATAAACTTTTCTGAGAGTGCAAGTGTTTTGGCTTAGATGCTTGTATTAGGCTATAGAATCAGGGTATATAATAAATATGTGTCAGTTCATTTACACAAAATAAAAGTTGTCAGAAACTCACCTTTCTTAGGGTACTTATTTCTGGAAAATCCCTTTTTTATATTTACTAAGTGGATAATTTTCTTGCATTCAAAGGATTTCTCTCTTGTGACCTTTGTGCAACTTTTACTTTTGCTGACCTTTAGTTCTTGCAGAAAAAAATCACATAAGTGTGATTTTTATTTAGTTCTTGTAGGAAAAAAATCTCTCAACAGCATATTTTTGTTTGGATTTTGGAGAGCTTTTTAAGAGCACTAATATAAAATTTCAGACACTTGGTAAAAAAAATTGGTGCTGACTTATTCGGGTATTGGATTTTATTATTAAATTAAGTTATGGTTGTTCCTTTTTTTTCCCTTGTCCAGAGTTACTTAATTGGATGGAAAGAATTTTGGAAAAATAAATGGCTAATGGCTTATATACTCACATTAATTGTTTCCCTTGCTGATTGGATTGTGTCACTGAGTTTTTTCTGCAAAGAGGTAAGAACAGCTTTACTTTGATCTTTCATAGCTGGATAATTCACTGAAGCACAGAAAAAGTTTGGTGTAATGTAGCTTAGTAAAGAATTCTGTTTGATTCTTAATGTAAGTTTTGTATTTGTTGGTAAAATTAAATAGCACTCATTGCTTTAGCTTGTCAGCAGTTGAAGGGTGCAGGGAAAACTCTTTGCCTGGCACCAATTTTGAAATGCAATTGGAGAATTATGTACTTAACTTGAGTGAATGGCAAAGCCTCTGTAGTGAAGTATAAGAAAAAGGTAATTAAAAAGGTAATTAGGTAGTTTAACATCTGCTCTCTAACCTGAAGCTGTGTTGCGTTCAAAACAGTTGTGTCCTGAGAGGAACATCAAGTTTGGAAATGGTTCTAGAAGTGCCCTCCTTGATGTAATGCTGCATCCAGTTGGTTTTGTCTGCTACAGATTTACATTCAATTAGTTGTTGTGCACTTACAATCCTTGTTAAGAAAACACTAATGTAGTAAAAATGCTGGGAAGTGAATGAGAGAGACATGATCTTAAAATGTGAAATCTTGAGGTGTGATAGTGAACAGGGAGTTTGAAGAGGAGTCTCCCAACACAAAGCAGTGGCAGAAGGAGCAGTTGAACTGCTGGGATGGATGAACAGAAAAATAGAAATAAAGAAAGTAATTTTATGGGGGTTTTTTTGCTGCTAAGTGTGGCCCACAGAAGACTGATCCTAAAATGCAAGATGCTGAAACATCTTGAAGATGTTTGAAGTAGCAAGATTGCTTGAAGTAGCAAATTAGTGACAGGAAGAACTTGAAGGCTTGCAAATGTCTTGACTGCAAGAATCAAAAAGATAATTTGCTGCAGTTTTCTGGGGGAAAAAAGCACTTACAGCTTGAGTCTTGTCAGAGACAGAAATTGCTAAGTAATTACCAGGCCCTTTAGTTATAAAACAGTCTGAAAATTGAAGTTAAGCACTTATTTTTAGAATATATGTTTGTTTTTATGGAAAGTAGCTCTATTAATCCCTTTCTTGAGATGGACCTTGGCAGAAAATGCAAAAATGCCATCTCTTGCCAGATTGTTATGTCTATGGAGCAGTAAAGTTAGATTGTTTCCAATTAGTGGCCTGATGAAACTATTGAAATGTCAATGTGTGTTTTTAAAGCAATCTCTCCTCATTTTAATGAGGTGTGGAATCGTTTTTGGTGTTTTGTGAGCTCAGAAGAGCCCAGTTCAGTTCTTTTTCAGTTCCACTGTTGGCTTAGTCAATGTGTGTATCCAGTGCTTTCTGACAAACTTGCATTCAAAATGTTTGAGCTGCCAGTCTTGCAGGAACTCAGTGTCTGATCCTTTGTTTTTTGCAGACTGTGAGAATAAGAAGAATCCTTCGCCCCTTCTTTCTCCTCCAGAATTCCTCTATGATGAAGAAAACATTAAAAAGTATCAACAGCACATTGCCTGAAATGGCCAGGTGGGTTATAGCCCAGAAAACATCCTTTCACAGGATGGCTGGGAGCAGGCAGGTTGTTATCCTTGGAGTTCCAGTGTGGGGCATCTGAGCAGCTTCCTTCTGGATTGGGTAGCTAAGTGCTCAGTGAGATCAGGTCATAGAGGGTGAAGGTTGTGGTAACTTTTTGATTCCCCTTAGTCTGTACAGGATCTCTGGATTTTAACCTGACTGTGTGTTTGACATAGGTTTTTTAATGCTAGTCAAGTGGGAGGTTTTGATTCTGCTTTTCTAAGCCCTTCTGTAAGGGAAGAACTGAGGCATCTAAGTGTGATTTTTATTTTGTATGAAAACTCACATCTCCTCCTGTTGTCTCCATATAACTTCTTAAAAACACCCCTGGTTTTCTTTATATGGCATAATTTTGCATTTTTAGAAGAGGATATTAAGAATAAGATCAAGTTACTGTTAATACTTTGATATATTTGCTTTCCAACAGTGTTCTTCTACTCCTGGCTGTTCATCTGTCTCTCTTCACCATGTTTGCCATGCTGCTCTTTGCTCGAACAAAGGTAATCAATTCTCTGTCTGCTTTGGTAGATCTGGGTGCCTTTTTTCTGTACTTGCACAGCTGCTTCTTGTCTACTTTTGTAGTCAAACTAGTGAAACTTGTTTTCCCTGAGAAAGGTCACGTTGTCAGATGTGCTGAGATGAGTTTGAAGTCCACTTGGCGAGCTTTAACATGTGCATGGTATCATGTATGTAGGAGACTTCCTTGTACATTTACCCACTTTGATCCCTTGAGTTACTTTCTCTGCTTTTGTTGAAACCCTCTGTGTTGTTCTGTCTCCAAAGCTCTTGTCACTCTTTCATTTATATTATCACTCATTTATTTTTTTCTCTTCTCTATCTAGCTTTTTGCTAACTTGGGTTTCTTCAGTGTTTTCTCACTTTTCAATACTGGTATTCCTACCAGGCCATACCCTGGTAGGTTTTTGCCTGTTCTAGTTTTGGTTTCTGATCCCTTTGGGTTTTCCTCTTGTTTTTCTCTTCTTGCTTCTGAAAAGCAAAATTGAAATTTTGTGGTTAAAATTATTTTTGTGTTACAGTAATCTTGATATGTTCCTTCTCTTCTAGACTTCCTATTTATCACACTCAGATTATTTGGTTTTTTTTTCATTTTTACTTTTTAAGGCCTTCCATAAGTATGTTACTGTAAACAGAATTTCTTGCCTACTTCTCCCAGTAATTTTGTCCCATCCTTAATCTCAGTTTTGCACCTTCATTTCTGCTGCAATTTGCACTCAAGCCAGCTTCTAGTCTTCCTCACAATCAGCAAATTCCCTGAATTCCCATGTTACAGAATCTTTGGAATTAGAAGCAGAGGCCTGTTTTCCCACTGTTAGTTGCCTCCTGGACCTTTGTATTATCTCTGTTTGTCACATCTAATTTCAGCTATGAGCTTCCCCCGCAGATGTATATTTATAATTTCTGTACCTAAGCCAATCACTTGCATGTACATTGAGGTAAAAAATAACAAATTAGAGAGTGGACTTTCCTATTTTGGTGTGCTGCTCTGACATCCATACAAACTAATTTTATGTAACATGGCAAAATACTACAGGCAACTTCTAAAAGTAGGTTTATTAATGAAATTCATGACTCTCTGCATTGTCTTGTGTATGTCCTTTAGGGTTACATATTCCAGTCTTTGCAGCAGATTCAAGAGCTCTTTGTCCTGTGCTGCCTGACTCATGTTTGTGTTGTTTGCACTCTGCATCTTTTTTTATCTGTCTCTTTTGACCTTCAGAAAAAAAAATATATGTGGAGGATCCAAGGATCCAAGATCAGCCTCCCAGTGTGTTTTTGGTGAAGGTTTTGAGTCCCACACTGTGGGTTTGTGGTGCGGTTGTTCTTCCTGGGTCTGAGGTGCTAACTAGACATAACTTCATGTGGGGCTTCCTGTTCTTACTTGTGCTTTTTTATTGCTATTAATAAGTGATTGCTCTGTGTTCTTACACATTCTCTTAATTTTTATTTAGAGAATATGTAATTATTAATTTTTTGGCTTTTGCTTTCTCCACGGGGTAGATTTGATTAGGTGTGTAAGAAATTGATTGTTGACTGATATGAATTGTTAAAAAAAAATTAAACTTTTTTCCCCCTTCCTTGCTAAGACACTGATTCCTTGGTATTTCTCTCAACAATGCACACATCTTTGCCTAGGATAACCAGCAGGATAAGGAGTGGGTGGTGTATTTCCGGAATTTGCCGGATTCCCTGACGTCACTGCTGGTCCTGCTGACTACTGCAAATAATCCTGATGGTGAGCAGTTTTTCAGAAATAACACTTGTCTCTCCTTTTCAAGAACAAAAGAGCAAGATTGCTCTGTTCAGACTACTGTAACCATTCTTTCAGCTGCTGGTTCTTAATACAGCCACAGGAAGGTTGTGCAAAGGTTTTTCATGCCTTTAGTAACTTGATTTTTGCCTTTCTGTGGTGTAATTATATATGCCTCTCTAAAATCCAGCTGTATGAGAGCTTTTACCAATTACCAAAAGTTCATAGAGGTCTCTACTGTGTATATCTCAAGCATTAAAATATTATTTCCTATTTTTGTTAAATTTGATTCAGTGATGATACCTGCATATTCTAAGAATCGAGCATATTCCATCTTCTTCATCCTCTTCACTGTATTAGGTAAGTTACCTCTTGTCTTTAATGCACTTCAACTTTGACACTTGTGTATACTATCTACACTGTTTTATTTTTCTAGGAAAGTTTAATCATGAATTTCTCACTTTTGTGATTCTTCCAGTTATTGCAAAGTGTCTGTGAGATCATTTTCATGAAAGGTGCTTATGGTTTGGAGTTTCTTGTTAACATGAATATACATTACAGTATATTCAAACATTTAAAATGTTTTGGAAATCAAACACAAGAAAACTAACCTTCTTTAAGTTTTGCTTTTGATTTACTGCATATGTTGAAACTTCTTTATATTTTTCAGTAAATTTTACTGCCTCTTTTTCTCCAACAGGCAACTTGTTTTTGATGAATTTGCTTACAGCAATAATATACAACCAGTTTCGAGGGTACCTTCTGGTGAGTAAAGCATTCCTAATTTCTATGTTCTGCCATAACCTTGAACCTTTGAAGAATTAAGTTATTAAAGGACCCTTCCCACTCTGGTTGCAGATACAGTTTTAAGGTACTAAATGCTCTTTGATGAAGATACTTTTCCCTTTATGTGCTGTTACAGCTTGATCCCCTCTGGTGACAAAACCTGCTTGCATATTTCCAAGTACGCTGTGGATCTGCAATTTTGACTATTGGTAGGGGAAAAAAAAAGGAACTGTTGTATGACTGACCAAGGACAAGTGGCTGAGTAACTTAAACTGTGTGAAGGAAATCTGCTGTGCTGTTTATATAGCTGCTGTTGCAGATTGTAGAATATTAAGGGATTGGAAGGGATCTCAGAGATCATTCATGGCCAGGGACACCTCCCTCCCACTAGACCAGGCCTTACCCAGACCGGCCCAGTAGCTTTTCTAGTAGAGTTCCAGAGAGAAGGTGAAGTTTGTTGGATAATAAGCCCAAGGCAATATTACTCAGAATGAATGGCCCCCACCCTCTTGTGGCAGAAGAGTGTGTAAACAGAACAGGTGCAGAAAGGATTTTTAGTAATCCTTTCCTCCTCCTCTCTTTCATCCCTTCTTTCTCAATTTTCTTCTTTCTTACATGAGAGCATGGCATTAATCTGACTATTAATAAAGTAACTAAGTTTGAAAGTGATTACTTTCAAAGTGTAATTAAAAAACCCATGAAAAAACATAGCTCTGGATTTGTGCTTTTAGGCAAGAAGCTAGAGTGGGACAAGTTCTCTAACTCTTCTCTCTGCATGCTAGTGTGAATTTCTGTGAATGCTTGAGCTTTGCTGTTGCCAGTGTCTCTGGAAGAGGCATATGCCTATGCACTCCAGAATAGAAAATAAACCATAACCTGCATGCTTACTTGAATTCCAGGGACTTGTTTGCTTACTTGCTTCCTTCCTCCTTGTACATGGAGTTCTTGCCATGAGTGCGGCCTAGGGCAGTCTCCTGTTCTGATCTCTAATCACAAATCTGGGATGTGTGCCCGAGGCTCAGTGTATTATTTGGCCATAGGACACAGGAGTGCCTGAAGTGAGAGTAAATTGTTTCCTCTGTGGTGTTTTTACTGCTCAGAAATCAGTTCAGTCCTCCCTCTTCAGGAGGCGGCTGGGAATCCGGGCTGCGTTTGAGGTGCTGTCTTCCCTGAAAGAGACTCCTGCTAGCGCACAACAGTAAGTGAAGGACCTTGAAACAGTAGATTATCTAGCAAAAAGAAAAAAATAGTAGATTTTTAGTCATCTTGTTTTGTTTCAATATATTTACTGAGGATGCATTCTCGAAGATGGCAGTTTGTTGCTCGTCTAATTTGTTTATTTTTTCTGCAAGTGGGTGTTCATAACACACTGTTCGTGACTCTTGTGGGGTCTGTTTCCTTTTTTCCTACTTCTAGTTTCGTTTGCTTTTCAAAACAAAGAGGCAGGAATACATTTGGAACAGCTCATTTTGCCATCTCTGAGCTTATCTGTAGCAGGGCCCATTCTGTTTTCTTTCACATAGGTCCTGTGTCAGTGTTGGGGCCTTACTACAGGTGCTGCAGAAAGCTGAGATGGATTCCCGCTGCAAGCAAGCCATCATGAGAGTAAGAATTTTATTTTTAAATATTTGAAAATATTATTTTAAATAAATTTTTAAATATTTTCTAAGCCTTTACGTTGGTGACTATCAATCCTGACTAGCAAATCCAAAGATCTGCTCTCTGTTGCAGCATTCCTTGGATCATAATAGTATAGTGACACTACTACATGGTACTAAAACTTAAGTTAGTCAAAAGAGCGTGTGATCCCAGAGAAGGAAAACAGAAAAGGCCAGACATGTCCTCCAGTCACATGGAGTGTTGTGTTAAAGCAGAGCAATACTGAACCTTACTCAAACAGCTTGAATTACATCTTTATTCCTTGATTTCCAAGGTAGTCTGAGGGGTTTTGGCAAACTTTGCAGATGTTCCTATTGCAGATGTTGATCTGAATGTTTCTGTTTCATGTGAAGTCACTCAAAATGTGCTCCTGTGACCAGCTGTCAGCTGCCCAGTTCCAGAAGCTCTTTGAAGAACTAGACAAAGATGCCATTAAGCAAGTATGTATGTGATCACCATTTATAAAGCATCGGAAGTTGTCTGGCCTTGTGGAAAAATAAGTGAGAGTACTGTAGTATAAAGTGTATAAACAAACTTTGCAACATGTGAACACAAGGTGTGATCACATTGATTTTTAAGCTTTTTGTGAGCAGCTTTTATAGCCACAGACGAAATTGCTCTGGGGGCTTTTGCAGCATTAGCTTGGGATTGTTAGGTGGTGCTAAATGTACAAAATACATCTTTGTTTATTCTGTCAGCATTTGAAAGTGAGTTGTTCAGGCAAAATAATTCCTAAGTCTTTTTCCCCCAATCCCTGAATGAAGAACAAAGTGTGGATTCTCTCTGTGTTCAGATGAAGATGGGCAGAAAGCAGTTTTCTCCACTTGGAGAGAGAGAGAGAGAAAGAAAAAACAAAACACTAAATTATTTGAGGGTTAAGAAATGTTCTCTTCTATATTTGCATGTATCTAAGACTTCTGAATTAAATGTTGGCAAATGGGGAAGGGATGTATACAAAGAGTAGCTTGGTGTTTCATTTGTCTGCTTGGGGCATTGGAGAGAGGTTGGATTATCTTCCTTCTTTGCCATTACCTTGTGCTGTGCCATAATCAGAAATGCTCTCTTGCTGTTAGTAGCCACAGCTGGAAAACATTTTCCTGATGTAATGTCAAAATTAGCCTGTGGCCCTGAAGATTTGCTTTGAAACTGTCTGGGGTTTTTTAAATCTGAGACGGGCTGTGTTTTAAAGTTATTGTATTATTTTTAAAATGCTTATGCTCTGTGACTCAGCAAATCCTTTGTGTTCTTTTCAGCACCCTCCCAGTCCAGAGTACCAATCCCATTTTATGCAGAAAGTGCAGTTTGCCTTTGGCCATCCCTACTTTGGCTACTTGGGGAATGTGGTAGCCCTGGCAAACATTATTTCTATTTGTGTAAGTAAAGGATTTTTTTTCTTGTGGGGCAGTGGTTTTCTTTCTTTTTCTTTTTGTCATTGTTTTTTGGTCTTTCTCTGCTACAAATTTAATTTCTGCTTTTGTTCTTTAATTTTCTTTAAATAACTGCTTTTTCTAGCAGTTGGGCTTTTGGCATGCTTTTGCCATGCAAAGTGTTAAGAGGGAAAACTTGCAGTTAAAAAGGTCTACACAAAACATGAAAGACTGTTCTTGCACTTAAAAATCTGTTTAATGTAGCAGTAAAGCAGTAGATTAATAAAATATTTTTTGTTTAAGGTGGTTTTGGTGATGGATGCAGATAAGCAGCCATCTGAAAGAGATGACTTCTTCCTGGGGGTAAGATGCAACAATATTCCATGCAGTTAGTGCTGTTCCCTGAGATGTCAGGAATTCTAATGGTTGTTTTTCTTCTGGGGGGGTGAAGGCTATCAACTGCTTCTTCATCCTGTACTATCTGCTGGAAATGCTGCTGAAAATCTTAGCAATGGGCTTGAAGAGATACTTGTCTTACCCAAGCAATAGATTTGATGGACTTCTGACTGTAATTTTGCTGGTAAGTGCTTTGTTAGCTTACACATTCTTGGATTTGTTGGCTAGGGAGGTTTAGGGAACTACAAGAGCTGGTGGGATTGTTTTTTTTAACACTGATCTGCTGAGCTGAACAACATGAGCCAGTGTTGTGGTTTTCTGTGGCTGGAAAGTTTACATGGTGGTACATGGTTCTCTTAGCATCTGTGTTCTGAAGATAGGCTTATTTGCATCCATGGAAAAGGTGCTTTTCCTGATAAGAAGACTTTTAAATTTTATTTGGAAAAATTCACCTCCTGGAATAATTGCATGAGGCATTCTGTTTCATAGTTTAAAACCACTTTTCTCTTTAAATTTTAAAACAATTGTCAGACTATTGTAACAATTATTTGGTCAAAGCCTGACACCCCTGTGGCAGATGAGGTCAAGTTAATGGTTAATGGTATTCACTGTATATCCTTTTGTGAGTCACTGTTGGATGCTCTATGTACATTTGGTTTGTTTGGAGAATAACTAGGCAAATATGACAATTCAGAGCTTTAAAGTGAGTCCAATTAGTGGCCTAAAGCTCTTGAAAATGTTTCTTGTCAAGAAGCTTACATAATTTCTGGAACTCAGATTTATGAAGTAAAGTTTTGACTTTCATTTTGTTTTGGTTTTTCTTTCCTAACTGAAGATTCTGGAGATTGCAACTTTTGCTGTGTATGGATTTCCTCACCCTGGCTGGTGAGTAACCTCTGTGACCTGCTGCCCTTTGCTCAGTGGCTGGGGTGGGTCAGGGACACACACCCATTGTCATATATACATGTCATGATGCTGTGATCATCAGCCCAGTCTTCAATTTACCAAATTTGGTAGAATTTTGCACCCTTGTAGTCACTAGAGGCTATGCAATATGGACAAGTGAAAGAATCTTTCTTATTTCCTAGTGTTTTAGAGTTCTGTGTCGCTTTTCTGAGAAGGATGCATTTGTTTTAATTGTAATGTGATTTAAAATAATATCTTGGCAGGTCTGTGCTTACCAGGGGTGCAGGAGTGGGAAAAAGGTTGTGTATGTGGTACCAAATATGTTTCAGTATCAGCTTGTCCATTAATCCAGTTAGATGAACTCCCAAACAGCTGATGAAAGCTCTTCAACCCTGTGTGTAGATTGAAGGCTGAGGTTTTTTTCATGCTATAAAATGTAGTAAGAAAATTCACATGGACTTAACACTCTTTGTTGGTATTGTAATAGCAAGCAGTTGTTTTTTGATTTTCTTAAGTTCAAACAGCTTTTGGATAGCTACCCTGATTTTTTTTTATTGTAAAAAACATAAATATCATTGCTTCATCTTAAAATTTGAAAACCGTCTCCACAAGCAGAGAGGAAAGCAAAGGAATTCTGGAAGGTTTCCTGAATCTTCACAAGTGATTCATAACCATTCTGTTACTTTGTGTCTTCATGCAAGCTCACACTTAAGATGCCCTGATTTTTCAGGATATTTGTTATGTTGCCATCAAGTGTCAGTGATGTAGAGAGACTGGGAGACTGATTTGGGCATCAGAATCTGATTTTATTGTGGGATACAAATACTTATATACTGTTTCAAGGAGACTAGTAATGTGTACTGCAATGATTAGGTTAAAATCACATACACAAACTTATGCATATAACAGCATCTCTTGCTTGCAGGGTTGAATGGGATTTTTTTTTCTGGTAAACCCCTTTGATTTAATCTTCTTGCAATCCAGGTCTAATTTTCAAAGTTCCATTTGCTATTGCCAAGGCATCCTGTTATCAAATCTCTTATGTTAACCAGGTCCAAAGTCCATCATCTGTCTTATGTCCCCCAACATTCCAACAATCAAGAAGTTCTCTTAATTTACACTAGAATCTCTGAACAGGGTTAGACAAATGAGACCTTATGGTTTTAGAAGGGCTTATATTTGAATACCACTTGTATTCCTATCACCTAGAAGTGATAGTTGCCAGAAGAGTAATTGCTACAGACTGTTAACTAATTATGTTAATTATTGATGTTATCATTATATTTGTGTTTGATTCTGCCCTTTGATTCTTAAATGCAGGCAATTGCTTGCTCTGTCATCTTGGAGCACCAGTAATTCTTGTTAGGTCTTTGTGTCAATCACTGCAAGCAGGTTACAATGCAGATGATTCCTTCTGAGTCCTGATGTGTGCTGCTGTCACATCCACAGACCAAGCAGCTGCCACCTTCAGGGCAGGACAGTGATGTTGCTGTTATCTAGACTATGCCTTCTATGCAGTGTTATCTTAAATGATTTGATTCATTATTGGGGTTGAATATATTGAAGGTACAAATCATGATTTAGTATCAGTGTTACCAAGTCATTGGCAGCTTTAGATCCCCACCACCTGCCCTCCTTTCCAGCTAAGAAGCATTCAGCATGCTCATGTAAAAGCCAAAATTCAGGGCTGGGTTTTGAAGTGTATGCCCATCTCCCATGGATTGTTAACACATAAGGAAGAAGGTTGACAAGACAATCCTTTAACCTAGTGCTGCTTTCAAAGCTCTTCTTCAGCCAGGCATGCCCTGAAGGATTAATGCCCATCTTTGTGCAAGTTCCTGAAGTATCTCACTCTAGCAGTCCTTTTGATTCCATTTGTTTTCTGAAAGGATCCTCTTTGGTGCCTCCTCCCCAGCACAAGACACAAACATGCACTTCAAAGAGCTCTCTGTACATATTTAAGAGCCCAGGCTAAAGGGGATTCCTTCCTTCATCAGTTATTGGTTTACTGTAGCTGAGATTCCTGCTAAGTAAATCAATGTATTTACCTGTAGCCCAGTAGATTTAACTGTGTTGTTCTGTCATGGGCTGTTCCTCTGATTTGTTCCTTTTTCTGCCCTTCTAGGAGGCCTGAGTTCATGGGCTTGCTGTCCCTGTGGGATATGGTGCGTCTGGTGAACATGTTAATCGTCTTCAGGTTCCTGCGGATTATCCCCAACATGAAGGTGATTGCTCTTCCCTCTACAGCTTGGGTTTCTTTGGTGGTCAAGCTATCAGTTTTGTTAGAGCCTTTCAGGTCTAACACGTGAGTGGAATAGCTCAGCTCTAGCTGTCCTGACTTTTGCCCAGCCCCTTTGCCTGCTCCCTCACCAGAGGAAACCAGCTCAAGTTCTCTTGACGTGATTCTTTGTCCTTTTAGTAAAAATTTGATACGGATTGGAAGTGTGATGAATGTCACAGGTACAAAATTCTGCTCTGTTTTAGTTCATGGCTTTGGTTGTTACTACACTGCTGGATCTGGTGAAGAACTTAAGAGCCTTTGCAGGAATCCTTGTGGTAAGTCATGATGCAAGATTGTAATTTCCTTTGTTATAGTTTAATAAGGGTATGACACCAACAAAGTTAACAGAGTTCTTGTACAATCACCATGAGCAGTAACATTTCACCTTAACCAGCCAGTTCTTCTGCAGGGCATGTCTTGGAAAGCCACATTAAACTGCTGGTTTGTGATAGCCAGCACACAGTGGCAGTGCCTCCTTCAGGAGGAGTACCTCTAAAAGATTATTTAAAGCTTCCTTTGAGTGTTTGCCTTAGCTTGGGTAGTGTGGATTTGAATTAAAAATTAATCCGTGCTAAAAGTAGATCAGTTTTCCTTACCCTGGTTTGCATATGTTAAATTAAATAGCAAAACAACTTTAAAATTGTTTTTGGCTGAGAAGGTCTTGAAGATGGCATGTTTGGACACGATTTTTTAAGAGCCTCTGCCATCCTGTTTTAGGTGTGTCTGTGTAGAACATAGACTCAACAAATGTGATTAAAGGGTGGATCACAATGTGTGATGTCCATTACATAAATTCTCCCAACTCTTGAGTTTCTGGCTTTGCAACCATGCCTTCCTGGTAGGGTAAAGAAGTGCCTGGTTAGGTTTGGTTTTGCTATTGTTCTTGGATTTTTGTAGGGTACCTTAATTTGAATGGCTAAAGATAATGATTTGTTGTTCTAATCTATATACCTAGCATGCAATTTAACCAGAATGTAGGGGGAATAGAATATAAGACAATCAAGATAGTGCAGAAAGTAATCTTACCCCTAAGGAGTTGCAGCTGGGCCAATTATCAAAGATTAGGAACAGGCCTGACTTTAACAGGCCACAGCTGTAAGCAATGAGAAGAAGAGTGCTATAAAAGAGTGGGGTGGCTGGGTGAGAAGGGATCTGGAGTCAGTGGCTGCTTTGTGAAGGAGAAAGTGTCAGTGCTCTGAGAGCTGCCCACGAGAAACACCAAGAAGGTATGGAACTTTTGTGATAAGGAGACAACTGTTTAGAACCCCTGCAGTAAGATGACAGCACCAGAATAATCTGTTTTTGTCACTAATAATTTCTGCTTTTATCTGTAGAGGATAGGCCTTAAATTGGCTTGTGTTGCACTTTGAAATAAAGATATTGGTTGGGGCAAATCTAAGGTGGTAAAAACCTTGTTGTGCTGTACAACTCACACTTCTGAGACAAGTCTGCCATAGTGTTTGCCTCTTCCATCAATTTAATTTGCTTTTACTTGAGGCTACATGGAAGTTCTCACCGAGCTTCTGTTGTAGTCAGGTCTGACTCCATTGCCAGCTGATGCAAAATATCTTTCCTAATGTTAGCATGGAACACACATGCAGATAAAATAATGTAACTGACTAGCTAATTTCTCAGGCAGTGAGTGATTTAAATACTTATTTTTTCAAAGAATAAAATTAATTTTATTGCCAGGCTGGATATCCCAGGGCATCTCTCTTCTATTCTCTCCAGACTTTGCATTCTTGGATTTGTTTTGTAGCAAAATACAAAAAAAAAACCAACCAAATGAAAAAGCCCTACACCACACTTCTTGTTTGAAGACTCACCTTGCTTCAAGCTTTCCTGGGATAAATGGCTCCTTCTCAGAGAAGCAAAGCTGTAGGTTATTTCTAGAAGCATCTTTTTAGGATAAAAATTGCAATATCACCTAGGCAACTGCTATAGACTGAAAGGTGTCTCTTTAAAAAGAAGTTTGCATTTCTAACAATTAGAGGACAGAAATTCTCAAATCCTTTTTGTTATTCAAAACCTTATTTTTAGACTAATTAGCATTTTTAAGCAAGTTGCTGATGGAATATAAAATAATGACATCATTTTGTCTTTCAGGTAAGCTCACTGAAAGTTTATTTTCATTGACTCTAGCAGAAAACTCAGATATTTAAGTTGTTCTTTGTAAATACTGGTACTGAGCTTTGGCTTTAAGTCGCTATTCTGCAGTGTTTATGGTTAAATATCAGCAGTCTGAGACACAGAGAAGTGAAATAGATGATAAAATTATTTAATGCATTTTAATAACTGAAAATTAGGTAGAATTTTAAAAAGTAAGAGCAAGCATTTGAGAAGTATTTTTGCTTTAAAAGCTTCAGGCACTGTTCTTGATGCAATTGCCTCAGCTGTGGTACTAATATAAATTCCATGTTTATTGCATTTTGCTTTCTTACTTTGTGACAGAACTATTCAAAGCTAATAGTTGATTGTGTTCCTTCCAGGTGGTTTTCTATGCATTTGCTATAACTGGCATCATGCTGTTTAAAGGTGCTGTTGTTCCCTTGGGAAATACCAGGTAAGATTCTCAACATCACTGCTCAGAGAATCTGTTTTTCCAAAGCATCTGCATCTTTTTACCTCTGAGCTGTTTGTGGTTGGTTTTGTTCGGGTTTTTTTTTTTGCTCTCATTCTTGGAGCCACCCTACTTTTAATGTTAAATCACACAGCTTCATTATCTGTTACTCCTGTTTCTTCTTGCTGCATTGAAATGCTTATCTGTAGTTTAACTCTGCTTTATCTGAAATATGTTTTTTGAACTGTTTCCCTTGTTTTCTTCCCATATGAGATAATCTAACTTTCACAGCTCAGAAGAATTCTAAATCAGAGTTCACAGGGAGCTGTGTTCACATCAGCCTGTAATCTCTTGCAGTGCTGCCAACACCACACATGATAATGGCACTCTGCAGTGTGGGACCTATGAACAGCTGGAATATTGGCCCAACAACTTTGATGACTTTGCTGTGAGTGGGATCATGGATGAAAATCCCTTGTTCTTGCACTCTCCGCTTGTCTTTCCTCCTCATTTCTGAGGCTTAGGTCTGTGGTACAACCACTTAAACACTGTTCTGCTCCTGTTCTTTAGGCAGCAGTGGTGACCCTCTGGGATGTGATGGTGGTGAACAACTGGCAAGTCTTTTTGGATGCGTTTTCAAGATATTCAAGTCCGTAAGTAGCTATAGTAATACTGAAGAAGTCTCATATAAATCCAGCTTGTACTGTGCCTGAATAAGAAGTATGCACAGTTCCTGCCATCTGCTCAGAGGGGTGCTGCTTACCTTTCTTATGGACCAATTCTGATATATAGAAAATAAATCTAATGCTTCTGTGTTTTCTATGTGGATGCACAATTTTTCTAGACTTAAAATCTTGGACATAGCTTTCATTTGTACTTACTGACTTCATGGGGAATGTTTGAACCAGATAGTGCCTGGGTTGAGCTGTTCAATGACCCCTGGCTGGTTAACTTAGGAGAGTGAGTCTGTTTAGCTAACCTAATGAAAAGCAAACATTTTTTATTTTTAATTTTTTGATTCAAGCCCCCTTTCCCATTAAGAAAGTAGTACTATTATGTTTCAAGAAAAAAAAATGTGATTTCATGGTGCTCTGCTCAGGCTGAGCTTATTTACTCCTCCTTTATGTATTGTCTGTTCATCTGATCTGCAGGTGGGCAAAGATCTATTTTGTAGCCTGGTGGTTGATCTCCTCTGTCATCTGGGTTAATCTCTTTGTAGCTTTACTTCTGGAGGTAAGGAAGTGTGTTTATTTGGTGTGAGATCCTGAAAATGGCTTCTAATTTGTGCAGGAAATGAAAAGAACCCAGACAACTTTATGCTGGGCTTGTGTGTGTGCTTACTTTACCTTTCTTGCTGCCCTATGCCCAAGGAGCTGAGAAATTGTTTTCTTTTTCCTAGAGAATTGTATGTTTGATTTGCAGTTTTGTCACAAAACTGCTTGTGTCCATTGGGTATGTACAATTTCATTGTAAAACTCTCCTTATTATAAAGATGAGAAGTATTTAAAGTATTATAAAATGGCTTCTCTCTTATATGTTACTGTTTAAATTCAGCATTAATTATTCAAGCTGTAGGCTTTTTTGCATTTTAATTTATCAGCAAATCAAGTGAGCAATTTAAATTTAAATTTTTTTTATTTTATTTGGTTCTCCTGTGTTTCTTCCCACCCCAGTTTGAATTACCACCATTGTTCAGTGCTACTCTAGAGAAGTGGAACTAATTATTTTCAAGAAGATCATATTCTAGAGTTTTTCAGAGAAACTGTGGGAGTGCAGTTGCCTGAGCAATGCCATGAAGAACGTGTGGTTCTGCTAGTTACTCATGGCATGCTTTCCTGCAAATCCAAATTTCTGATGGAGAAGGGAATGCTAATCATAACCATCTCCTCCAGGTTCACCATTGTAGACTTCTCTTATAGGTAGTGGAAGGAACTGAGAGCCTGTAGAGGGCACTTTACCCCATCTCAAACCCTATGAAAGTTTCTGTTGGACACGTTCTTGACATTGCTGAGTGTACTGAGAACTGAAATTTACTACAGTAGGAAGAAGGGCAAACTTCCAGTCTAGGACATCATCTACCTACTTGTTTCTGCAGGGCTGTGGCCAAGGGTTGCTGTCAGAGCTAAGATGCAGCATTCCATTGCAGGAGAGAAGGATGTCACTATTTTTCTCCTTTTTTTTTTTTTTTGTTTTGTTTTGATTTGCCTGAGCTGTGTGTATACTCCCTAGGTATTCATCTGTCAGAGTTATTCAGAATGGGTAAGGGAACATGGCAAAACCTGGACTAGCATTATGTTTATATGTTGTTGGGTTTTTAAAGAGGAAGAAATTCATATCAGGTGAAGTCCTGTGGGTAGTTCACATGGTTGTCTTGGGGAGGCAGTCCTTGCTAGGAGCTGAAGGCAGGAGGGCTGTCTTCTGCTCTGCTTTCAATTTGTGATGAGAGAGTTATTTCATTGCTGAACAAAGGCCTGAGTAAAGTAGTGACCTGCAGCAAGTTAGTAAGCTGATGCCTAAATAAATCAGTGTTCACCATGTAAAATGAAATCTCACCTGCCTCCCAAATCTTATCTGCAAACACAGTGACCAGATATAACCTCTTTTCTGGTGCTATCAGAAGAAGCCTTTATATCTTTTGCTGTTCCTTTTACATTTCAGAACTTTATTCACAAGTGGGACCGTCGCTGCCAGCGAGAGTCTCTTTCAGACATTGAATACCAGAGGACAGTTGAACTCATGTTCAGGTGAGTTGGGCTGGACTTGATAATCAATGTAGCTTTCTTTTTTCTTTGTTTGTTTTAAGGAATGTGTGCTGGCTGCAAGATGTCTTCTGTTTCCTCCCTCTGGAGCAAACTGTTTCATCTATTAGTTTGGAGAAATCCAGCAAGTGCTTTAGTTAGGCCTGCTTTAAGCTGACTTGGTAGCCTAACTTTTATATTCTTTGTGCTCATGGTATGATGGGAGAAGAGGTGCTAGGGGTGAGGGGAGCAACTGCAGAGGGAGGAAAAAACAAGGGAAAGAAGAAAAGGGAAGATGAGGGAAGTGATGCATATTCTTGGCTTATTATGAAATTGTGGGTGGTGAGTTAATACTTGATGATTGTGCATTAGTGGAACTTGTGGTGCATGTTGGATACTCAATAGTAGCATTGGGAGCATGTTCTCATTTGGGAGTTTTTTTCAGGAAAACAAATCTACTGACCTTCAGTTGTATTGTACTGTGTGCAGGAAATTGCTTCCCTGCTTCTTGTGGGAAAACAGCTGCTGGTTTCCATGACACATCTGTAGAGGATGGATCACTTGCAACTAGATGCATCTTTAGGGAGCATCAGCTTATTGTAATTTTAATTCCTTGTTTCATTCCTGAAACAAACACACGTTGCATCTCAGTTTAAGCTTTGCAAAAACAAATGCTGGGAAGCTCCCTTTGCTGCCCTAACAACTCATGCTTTTTCTTTGTAGAGATGTTTTGGAAGAACCTACAGAGGAGGAGTTGATGGAAAAACTGCACCAGCACCCACACCTGCACTTATGTAGGTGACTGGTGGGAAGGACTGATTTATTTAGACCTCTGTTTTCTTGAGGTTGTCAGCTGGAAGAAACTGAATGGATTTTCTGTGAGATGCTGTTAGGAGAGGGGCTTGTAGGACACTATGTGAGATTTTGCTTGGGAATACTCTGCAGAAAGGTTTTTTATTTTGGGTTCATGTCTTTTTTTGAAAAAGATTTGAATCCTGCTGACTTGATTTTAAGTTGCAATTTCAGAAGGAGTATTGCAGCTGTTATTTTTATAGGGTGTTGATATCAGAAGGTTTTATTTACTTTTTTTAATACGGAAAGTCTCTTTAAAATGACAGTGCACTTTAAAACATGAACTTTATAACCACTAAGACTGCTACTTTTTTTAGCACAAGAAAATGGAGCTGCCTTTTTTGGCAGCCGAGTGTGGCAAGGGCTGCACCCTGCAATTCATGAACGGATTAGGCAGGACCAGAACAAAATCCTTAATCTTCTTCTAGTGAGAGCTGAAACACTATTTTTATTGTAATGTGACACCAGCATATCTTACCAAATTTTCGGGAGTTAATCATGTTGGAGCACAATCAATTCCAGCTTGGTAACAGGGACTGCCTGCTTTGCACATCCTCTGTTTTTCTTTGCTTTCCATGGGGGATTCATGCTGGTTGTGCCCTTCAGGTCACTGAGAGCTGTTAGAACCTGGACTGGAGCAGTTGCACTCGTGGTTTTCAATGTGGTAAAACTAAGCTCTCTTTCAGAGTCAGTATTCTCATGTTGCTCTTTACTGAACCTCTTACTTTCTTCCAAGTCCTGCTCCACACTGTGTTGTATTTCATGAAAAAGCTAAGGGGAATCAGCTTTGGCTGGAATGTTGTATGTACCATGATCACTGGAATTGCCCACTCAAAGGGGGAAGAGAGGAAAAAAAAAGGTTGAATGGGATAATCAAAGTACTTAACTGTTGAAATTTTCATTTGAGCCTGTGGGAATTGAAGGTGCTCAACCAGTATTACAGGATCACATTCCTTTATGGCTTAATAACCACATGCTGTGTACCACTAAGTTTCACCAGGGTAATACTTTTTGGGTAAGTAAGTTTCTCAACAAATCTGAAGTGGAGGATTCACAGTAAGCTGTGTCCACATGCTTTTTGCTATCCCCTAGTGTTCCTCTATAAAGGGGTTTTTGCTTGAATCTCTTTACATGACTAGTAAACTGCTATGAAGAATAGAATCTACCACAAATACTGTTTTTATATGTAAAAATCAAATTGCCCTTTGGGGCACTGCCTTCTCATTGAGACACTTGTCACCAAAATAGACATTATTGTGGTCATCTCTGCATTGGCAAAGGCTTTGGAGGAGGTAATTGGCTTCTATTTATAAGTCCCTTGATTCTTTTTTTAGTTAAAAAATGTTTTTTCAGAAGTGCCAAGCAGTCGTCCTCTGTACCTTTCCTTATCTTTTTTCATCGTTTGCCATTTTTCTCTGTCCTGCATGAAAGAGAGCCAACTATCCAGGATGATGGTGCTGATGATTGTTTGAGGTCAAAACTTTTTTTGCCTTGTTGTCTCACTCCTCAAAAATTACTTAATGATCCTTATCTGTTTCTTTACCTTTCTGCTTGTATTTTCTTTGTGCTGTGAAGCAAAACACGTTGTAGCTTTCATATGTGTGGGACAAATGTGAGCTGAGTTCTGAGCTACTCCTGCAGTTTTTCTTGCTGCTGTAATCCTGCCTCTTAAGCCATGCCCTTGTCTGCATGCAGTCTCTTGTCTCTGTTCCAGATTAAGCCACCCAGTAACTCACTTGCACTGGTTTCAGTGGCATCATCATGCTTATTTTCAGTCATGCACTTAAAACACTCATCATGGCAAGCTGATAAAGGCATCAGCACATGGTTTTCTGCGTTTTGAGTCTGTTCTGTTCAGTATGGCTTCATGTCAGGATGGTTTCTGTTCCTTCTAGTGTGATGTATAATCTCTGCCACCAATGTATTGGGACTCATTGCACAGTGGTTAAACACTCTTATTTTACCTTTCTATTGAAAAAAAAAGTTGTTTTCCACTTTTCTGAATACTTGAAGTAGCTTTGCCTTGCCAAAATGAAGTGTCTGGTTCTTATCAGCTTACAAGTTTATTTTTTCTGGCCTCTTAAGGTTCTTTGGGGTTTTGTGGTTGATTTTTCTTTTTGCCATTACTTTACAAGGTTATGCTACAATCTACCAAAGCAACACAAATTGGTGTGGAATTACCATAAACATCACAACTGTTTCCATTATGCCATCTTTACATCTGGACAAATGTGGAGAAGGTGTTCTGAAGGGAATAGCCTGTCTTGATCTTGTTTCTCACTGGTGTAATTGACTGAAAGTGTAACTAGAATTTAATGCAGAATTGTGCTACCTAATGTCACTTGAACTGGAAGATGTAAATGACCACAAATCTTATGCAATAATTGTATAAATCATGGAAATGAATGTACGTCATTAGGTAAAATCTGAGGTTTGCATTATTAAAAAAAGTTTTTTCTTCTTGAACCATGAAAATAATTGGGGTGTTGAAATGATTCCTGTGGTTTGTTTTTGCCTTTCCCTTGTTACTGATTTCTGCAGTGCCAGACATTTCTGTTCCTGTTGTTTTTGCCAGTTAAAGGCTGGGCCCATGGAGGTTACGTGCAAGTGAGATAAAAGTGCTTGTTTCAAAATGCCGAGCTAAAGGACACTGCTTTGTTATTTTCCAATTCTGGAGGCACATGGCATCCTCTGTTGGTACTTGTGAAAGGTGAAACCTCATTGGAACTGAGCATTGATGGTTTTGAGCAGGTTGATTTTCATTTGCATTTCCATCTCTGCAAACCAGGTATTCCTTCATCTCTCTTTTCCTCAAGAGACTGGTGGAAAAGCATTCTCGGAGCATTTCAGCTGGGGCAGATTGTGCACATAACTTAGCAGAGTCCATGGTGTTCTTTGGTAGCATATTGTGGTTTAGAAGAAGGTGGGGTTTTATCAAGGGCAGAACAAAATCAGTTCTGGAACAGGTGCCTCTGGCAGTGGTTGTTGTAGATGCTTAGGTGAAGCATGTGAAAGCCAAAGCAAAGAGAAGATCACTTTGTGTTATTAAATCAGGATCAGATTTTTCTACCTTCTGAAGGAAGACCTTAATAACCCAGTTAACACTAATTTGAGATTCCTCATGTATTTTTTTTCCTTCCTGATTTGCTATGAGTTTTTATTGCTTAAAGATGTAGGAGTGGAGGGAGAGGAAGGATTCAACTGAAATGTTTTTGATTCTTTTGGTTAAAATGCAGAAATACAGTGATGAACCTCACAGGCACACTCAGCTATGAATTTGACACATTTTGGGGAATATTGGTTTGCATCCCTCCAGCACTTCTTAAAGTGCAGAAAAAAAATTTTAAAAGGACATATAAAGCTAAAAGAAAAAAAGAGGGCCTATAGGAAAATGGTGCAGGGTATAGATTAGTTACCTTTACCTCATGTTTCAGAGCTATCTCTTACCTTGCTAGATGGTTTCTCTTTTCACCTGCCTGTATAACAGGAGTAATACAGGATGTAACCCCAGCTTTTGTAGTTTAACATTGTGCTTTCATCAGATCCAGTCATTCCAGTGCTCTGTCTTGGGATCTTATTGAAAACAAAATAAAAATAGCTGTTTGCCTATATTGTCTATGTAGGTGTTAATGATTTTTTTCTTCCACTAGATTTTTGTCTAATTAAAAGTGTATATAACTCTTGGGAGCTTTGCAGAAATCAGCCAGTTTTGACATAATCTGAAGTTGTTATAAACATGCAGAACCATTTGTTTTCTGAATTCCAGGTAGGAATAATTTGGGGTTCAAGGGTGGAGACATAAAATTTGCTTTGTGGTCCATCTCTAAGCAATACACTGTATTTGTTGCTGTTTCAAAATGACCTTGATAAACTGGGGGAAATCACCAAAATTAGTGAAGTAAAATTTGAGATAAATATGCACTGTTACAATTTACCAATACATGGCAGGGAAAAGTAGTATTAGGAGACAAATATTATGGGGCTAATACTGTACTGAAAATTCAATGAGCTAAGAGCATCTGAAAGAGATCAAAAGATAATTGCTTTGCTGTAGCTTGTAATAGTACTTCCCTTTGTATCTCCCTCTGTCCATTTTGGGCCCTGCATTTTAAAATAAATACTTGGGGGAAGGTGTTCATTACAGGACAATAACAGAGGTCTTAAGACATATGAAAGTTGTGAGTTTAGAAGAACTTTAGAGTGAGCAATTTGTTCAGATCAACAAGAGATAGACAAATACTTTTAAAACCAATACTCAGATATGTAAACGGCTGAGAGGAGTGAAGTGTTGATGCTGTGTAATTGCTGTGTGCTACTTGTAGGAGAAGCTGTAGTTTGGATTTGGGACTGCTCCCTAGCTCTGAGCACTGTATCTGGGAGGGAGCAGACTCCCCTTAGCTGGAGAGCTGTTCCAGGAGGGATTTGACACTCACCTGCTTTGTGTGGATGTTTGTGAAGCTGCCCCTGTGTGCTGGTGGCTCAGCTGCTCCCAAGATCCTGTCCCGCCCACCTCTCTGTGCTTCCCGTGGCTGTAACAAAACTAGCTTTTGTTGTTACAGCAGGTTCTGCTGGGTCTAATGGCTTACAAATGTTTACAGTGTGCAAGTGTTAGGGATAGCAAAAACAAAATTATGCTCCTTCAGCTTCCCATTATACCCAGGAAGATGAGCTTGAGCTGTGTGTGCTGTGTGGCTGATACTTGACCTTGCACTAGCTCCCTGTAGTTCTCCATGCAATTCGCTCTGCTGGGTTCCCTTTAATCTCATTTCTAAAACCTTTAGCTTTTTGGGTAAGAGGAAGGCATGTGTTGCCATTCTCCCAGTTTGTGTTGGCTCACTGACAAGCCAAGTAGGTTGGATAACTTGATTTTTCCCTTGATGAGGACGCTTAGTTTGGGCACTCTGCTCTGCCTGCTACCAGATGTCACAAAATGACATTCAAA